GTGTGTTGTCTGTTGTCGATCCGTTCTTGGCAAGTTGCAGAACCATCGACAAGTGCTGAAACCGAAGATGGTCAGAAGAGACGAGTGAAGCGGGTCAGCAAGTTGTGGCGACAAGCCAGTGGAGCTGGGATCCGTCGTCAAAAATGGGACGTGTTCCCGGAACAGTCTGGAGCTGTATTCTCCCCATGGCCCTGGAGGCGAACCTGGAGGGACCTGGCGAACGAGCGCACCTGACATCCGAGCCCCGTAGAAGCAGCTCGTCTTTCCGGTGCATTGTCTGGCGGCGGGGGTGCTGTTATGCCAGCGAGTCCTCGTCAAACGACCGTGCCTCTGAAAAAGGCAATCTGGGTCAAGGCCAGCCCGCAGTCGGCCTGGCGCGATCACCTCGACGGCGTGAACACGCGCGGCGCCCCTCTGGCCCACGTGCAGTGAGTCAGCTGCGCGCGTGACAGCGAGCCGGCGTCCGCGTGTTTGGTGGTCTGACGCATGGCGCGGCGACCCCCATTGGCGGAATCTGCCCTGACGACCAGCGGCGCTTCTGAATGGACATTTTGGTTGGACCCGGTGTAAATAAAAGAAGCCCTGCGGCGCGTCGCGATCGGAGGTCCTACGGGAGAGGAGTCCCGGTGTCGGAGAGCCGACATGTGTGTGAGTCAGCGGTCTTAGGCGAAAGGCTGACCTATGTGTTAGAGAGGGGCGCTCGGCTCTTCGAGTCTCTGTCGGCCCCAGTGCCGAAATTGTAACGCCTCTGTAAATATGCTGTACATAAACCTTGTTTAACTCACCGTCGTCTCGTCCGCTCGTCTCATCAGCTCTGCGCAGAAGCAGTCGCGAGCTGATAAACATACGCTACCAAACGGCTGGTGACCTTCCCGGCGGAGTTGAAAGCAGTGGCGCCTCCGGGGCCGTGTTGGCGTCGCCGTCTTTCTCAACAGTGGTGACTTCGGCGGGATCGGTCCGTCCTTCGCAACAACGTCCTTTATAATGCCAGCGTCAAGCGGTTGCAAGTGCGTCGTCGTGTTTGCGGGCAAAAAAACCAGCTTGACGTTTTGAAGCGTCACTTGCTTCGGGTGGGCGGCGCACTATAGTGTGCGGTCAAGAATCAAAAGAATCTTCTGATTCTTGCAGGCCATTCTCCTGTCAAGGAGAGACAGAAATTCTTCGAACAGGGCTGCCGTCATCCACGCTTTTTTGTTTGCGCGATAGACGCATGGCAAATGGCTCTCGCGCTTGAAACACCGAGGCTTCTGAAATTTTCCAACTATGGTCAACTTCAGTTTTTCCGACCTGTCGGCGTTACAGCACAGAAGAACCGTTATTCTTTCTTTGCTTCTTTTGCCTCCTTGGCACGCTTCACCTTTTAAGCAAAGGCTCTTCCCGCGTAGAAGATTAAAAAAAACAGGCCGGCCTCATCTGCATTAAAAACATCACGAGGCTCATACCCCGAGATATGAGACTCCAGCTTCGCGAGCCAGTCGCTAACAACGGTCTCGTCAGCCTTCTTGGCTTCCCCGCAGACGCTTTTGTACACGAGACCTTGTCTCATCTTGAAACGGTGCAGCCACACACCTGAGACCTGGAATCCGTCGATGTGCAGAGCAAGGGCGATCTCGTCGGCTTTTTCACGCAAAACTTTGCCGTCAATGTTCACACCGGCTGCAGTAACTTCTTTAAACCAGATCAATAAAGATTCTTCAAGTTTTACGTGTTGGGCTGTCTTCGCTTGCTTCGCGTTGGCGCTGAACGAAAGCACATTTTTCATTATTGTGTCCCGCTGTCCAACAATTGTGCTCAATGTCGATGTAGCGAGGCCTTGCTCCTTAGCCAACTCCGTGCGTGTTTTTTTCGGATCCTCATCGACCTTTCGAAGAATGTCCAGTTTCTTAAAAGAGAGAGCCTTCCGCTTGCGAAACATGGCTTGCTGCGACTCCGCAAAAAGGCACAACAAAGCAAATACATGTGCTCGACTGGGCAAGCGTGTCGACAGCCTCCGCACTGCAGTAACCATGTGTCCGCACCAGAGAGCAACCACCACCAAGCAAAACAAAGATTGGATTGGATTTGTGTCTTCACCGTTGCCAGCGCCATCTGGAGCCTTCGAGAGAAAGTAAAAGGCGCACTCCGGCACAACGTTTCTAGAACTAGGTTGTTGCTCCGGCATTCAAGATCGCGTAGATCTTCGAGTTTGTCGCCCGCCGCTCGCCGGCGGCGCTGACAACGTAAACCGGCGGCGCAGCACGCATTTCAGCGCGTGCATGCACGCTGCTTGCTTCCGCGGCCGTCGGTGGGGTGGCGTTTATTCGTATCAAACAACTCGGGTCAAAAATCAGTTTGTAAGAACCGTACTCTAGCACATAGTAAATTAATGGGCCTCGGCCGGGATCACAGAAAAATTCGTATCACCCCGAATTTCGTATCAGCCGTGATTGTATCATCGAGATTCTACTGTATTCCCCTTTTTTTATATGTCATACATACCATTCGAAGTCGATTCGAAATTATTTGACCAAAATCACTATTCGCTTCAACCCTAAAATTCACTATTGGCACAAGCCTACGAACTACACAGGACGATCATTGACTGCCAAATGAAAAAATTATTGCACATAACCCATGCTTAAATAACAAGGCTGCGTCCTACATAAGAGGCGTGTTCAATAACACAATTCAAGAATAGCATGCAGAAAAATAGCTGCGGAAGCTCGGAAAGTCGAGTTTTTAGTCAAGCAAGGCAACTGAGGCTTGAACAACGCATGTATCGGGCAGAGCACTGATGGGGGCAGCTCCCGAAATTTCCCACTGCATTTGCCCTCAGCGACGATACAAAATGGTGGTGCTGCCAAACAGATGACTCCATCCACGATCTCGACAGTGTAACGACAAGCGCAAAGTTGCATGGCCTCTTAGAGAATTACTGTACTCACATAGCTGCACATTGAGACTGCACTGCGTTACACTCACGTGCACGTGGCATTCAGCCTTGTTCACAAGTGAAACCAACTCGCTAAAATACGTTTAACAAAGTATCACTTTTGTTAATGAACTTAGAACATGCACTTTTGTTGCACGCCACACAGTTTTGATTCCAGATAATTGTGATATGCTGATTTATTTTGTAACTAACTTAGTTTATATAAAAAAAGGTACTCCTCAAAAGGCAGATTACATATTTTGCTTTAAAAACCACTCATTATATTGAAAAAAAAAAAAAATATTTGCATAGTCGAACCCCTTTATAAAACCACCGATATAAGGACAAGTGGGTACAAGAGACAACAGTGTGTGTACAGTAAAGTACGGGTTGATAAGAAAATGCATGCGGGCTACCCTGCTTATAAGAGACCTCTCATATAAAAGACAAGAATCGCTGCCCAGAGCATGCCTCTTATAAAGAGGTTTAGCTGTATTTGATATCTGCAGACAGTTTTAGTAAAGTGCCCAAACTTTATTAAAATAAATAAAGGAGTAAAAAGTTTTTTTTGTAAGAGCAGTGTGACCCCTTCATAGTTCAGCTACCTGTCTTCCATCGATTGTTATGTATACAGTAGACTTGCTATATTTCAAACTCTGATAATCCATACTTTTGGTTAATTCAAACAGAATTAGACTTTTTGGTTGGCCCTCGATTCTTTCACTGTATCTAAAAGCCTCCTAATTCAAACTCCATCATTCGGTTAACTCATACTTTTCGCAGTTCCATACCAGAAAATATATCAGCTGCTTTCCACTACTTTTTAAAAATTTGTGTGCCTATATAATCCTAACAATCTAAAAATGAAGCACCTGAGGGCTTCAAGGAAAAAGGCTTTGCAAGTTAACAAATGCTTGAAACGAAGTACACGCACGGCAAACCGTGACACTTCTCAACTGGTATAGAGAGCTTTGTGCTGCAGGCACATACCTATAGCACTGAAGCAGTTAGAAATTCACGATTTCTTTAAAAGGTCGTCTAATCAGCAGTAAAGGCCCAATAATCTTATGGACTCTAAAAATTCTGCTTTCTGTTCACTGCATGCAGTTAGCGCTTAAAAACACTCAAAATATTTTTAAATGTGATAAAACCAATGCCTAATCATAATGCGTGGTGTCACCTCCTCCAGAGTCATCTATTTGAGAGCTTCAAATAATTCAAATTTCTTAATAATTTAAACAAAATTGAGAGGTCTCTTCGAGTTAAAATGAATGAGAGTCGACTGTACTTCTTGCTATGCCTATTTGCTTTTCTCCTTGTTAACCTAACCATTAGTGGCTCTGGATGTATGGCTAAGCGTCATAACTGCCGTGAATTGTTTTCAACACCTTCTTAATGTACCAACCTCATCCTTAACATAGGTTTCCAAGTTTTTGTATGCACCTTGAATGCTAAAAAGAACACCAACACATGACAGATTGCAATTCCAAGATGCCCTGTCTTGACTAATGCCAGCAAACAGTGTCACAACAAACCATTGATTCTCAAATAAGGGTTCGTGGTGCCATTTTCGAAGGCCTTGAAAACCCGTCAAGAAAAACAAAAAGAACAAAAAGAACGCAATTTTCTGGAGGCACACAACGTTCTGATGAAGCAACCTCTCTCAATTTCTGTGTGCTTTACCGCATAACAGCTTTGCATAGTGGTGGAGCTTAATTGTTCTCCTTTATACAAGAGGTCATGAGGTAGAGAATGTTGCAGTTTTCTAGGAGGTATGCTCATGAGCACTTTTTCTAGGCTACCATATTTGAATAGCAAGCATACCTTGAAACAGGTTGAGTGCAACTGCAGGCTGCACAACTTTTTGACAAGCTGTTGAGATCAAACTGCTTTGGTACTTAGGTTTGACCATTTTTTGCCAAGAAGAAATAAAAGTAATATATTATATGCTGCTTGTTGTCTCAAGTTATAACACCCCCCTCTCATTTTTTTTTTCTCCCACTGAAAAGGGGTCCTGCATCCCTAACACTGGTCCACGAGGGGTCCCCAATGTATCCATAACTGAGAACCACTGCCGTTGAATACCAACCTTGGCCTCGGGATCCGCTCCCAGGCCAACGTGAGGCACTTTGACGTGCTCGTGGTCAAAGTTGAAGGTGCCATCCTTGCGCTGCACGAGCAACTTGCCGCTGCCATGGCCCAGGAGCTCATGCAGGCCTACTTGAACCTCAAATGCCTGGTTTTTCAACCTGTTGAAGAGCTCCTGCAAACGAAGGACACATCAACAGAGCTCGAGTGACCATTGTACAGGTTGCGCGTTCAGTGCACAAAGGTGGCAAGATATTGCGTATGTTTTCGCTTCCAGTTACTATTTCACAGTTACGGTATACTTTCATTAAAACAAACTCAACTAAAAAGGTCCTGCAACACTTTTTTGCGTATAAATGGAATAGCCTCAATATTAGCACATGACGCTTCGTGCCACGAACATATTCAGAATCTGTGGAGTGCGAGCAGAGTTACAGGAATTTGTTGCATGCTCCAAGCGCTTGATCTCTGATTTCGTATTAGCAAGTGCGCTGAAAGCTACGGAAAAGAGGGCGAGATGATAGCCTCTTTATCAGTGCACATAGTGACCTTGAATACTTTTTTTTTTAGTGTGCGGCTAGCTTTCAGTGTGATCACCATTGTGTGAGTAGTAGTCGTGTAGCAACATCCCACTGCAACCACGATAACTTCGCAGCTCACAATGCTCAAATCAGCCAACGGCCATGAAGTTGGCGTATATGGCACCGCAATTTGGTTATATGGCATCATTTGTAGTGAAAAGAGGGGGTGATTAATGGATTACTTTGAGAATTAATTGTGAATTCCACGCCGCGCGCTGTGCTATAATGTTTTGCTCGCATGTTCTTGAGATCCATGTTACCGTAATTGCTCGAATCTAACGCGCACCTTTTTTCCGGTTAAGCGAGTTCATAAATCGCATGCGCGTTAGAATCGAATACGAAAAAAAATGAATACGGTCATTCCCGAAATGGCCACCACCTATGTGCGTCGGCATGGCGCGTCGGCCATTTCTGCCTATGTGTTTCCCATGTGCGGCACTTCGTACGTGTGCTGAGGAGTTCGTCATCTTGTAATGCATTAGCATCGACGGCATAGAAGGGCTGACTCCAAAAACTCGAACGAGTGCACCACAATGCCGCTTTTAAAAGAAAAGTCATCGCGTGTGCCGAAACGGACAAAAAATCGGGCCGCAGCGCAGTCGTTTGGAGTTCCCGAAACGTGCGTGCGGGACTGGCAGAAACAAAAGCAGAATATTGGTGACAGCAAAGATTCACGCAAAGGCTTCAGTGGACCACAGCAGGGTCGGTTTCCACAAATTGAAAAGCTGCTTGGTGAGTATGTGATTAAGCAGTGAGCGGCACAGCGGCCCGTGACGACAGAACTGCTCCAAGTGCAGGCTATGCAGTTAGCCTTAGAAAAAAGGGCTTAGGCGGAGCCAGTTTAAGGGGGGACACGGGTCTTTGGCACCGAAAAATCGCGAAAAAATCGAATTTTCGAAAATGTTATTTTTGGAATCTACCCACATTATTGTCTTTATACGAAAAATATCATACCTGAAACGCATCTATTTCAACCGCAATATGACTTTTTTGCATCAATTTGTGTAGATGTAAAACGGAAAATCGCGCAACTTCAAAAATGCGCAGCTCTCGTGCCACAGCCGCCCGCGCCGCTACTTTGGTCTCATTTGAAAGAGGAGCCGTTCCTCTTGAATTTTCGCGCCCTAGCGCCTTCCTCCATTCACTTGTGTCGGTGGAAAAACGGCGCAAAAAAGTTGTAAAACGGCTGTGCCTATTGGCGGTTCCAGACACGTGACAAAAGCTAGCTACGCGATTGGCTGAGAGCATCGTCTGCAAGCGCGAGTGCGTCGTTGAGGCAGCTGCCATTTTCTCCTGCCGCCCGCATTGCAAAAACGATGCCACCGAGAAAGTTTGCGCGCGACCATAAGTACGGGAAGAAGAGAAAAAAGTCGCATATACTTAACATTAGAAAAGTTGCGGAACGATCAACTGTCGTCGAGGATGGCGTGGACGCCGAAGATGAGCGACCGCAGGCATCGAACAACGGAGCCGCCGAGCTGACCGAGGAGCGCCCTAGAGGAGTAGGCCTAACGTGCCCAACAACGAGCGCCCGCGACCGCTACCCCGACGTCGGCCGCGTTCGTCGTGACACTGTTATCTTGGCACCTACAGATATTGATGAGCGGCAGAACAGGGCCGAAGAAAAAGTGAAAGAGCTAGCATCGACTGCCGCAACGCAACGAAAGGCGGACTTGCTGGCTGCGAGCGACTCCGGTGCCTGCCCGCTCGACGAGACTTGTTTCACCGTGGTGTGCTTGGATTTAGTAAATACGCTTCTCCAGCACATGAAATGCAAGGTATGTGGTGGAGACGGCAAAATTTATCAGGACGAGCGCGAATATGGCCTTGCAGTGAAACTGGTGCTTTATTGCAGCAATTGCGGCGATAAAGCAACGGTTTGGAGCTCGCCGCGCGTGGACGGGGACAATAAAGTGAACCCGTTTGCCATAAACATTCTGGCCGCGCGCGCGATGCAAACTACTGGCAACCGACAAACAGCGCTGAATGATATTTTCGCCGCTATGAATATTTCTCACCGCGGACTCCACACGAAAACGTGGCAGGCCTACCAGAAGACGAAGTTGACGCCGGCCGCGATGCGCGCGGTTGAGACGCAAGAAAAAGAGAGCGTGGAGGCGGTCCGGAAATTATACAGCGAGCTCGATGTGGATAATCCTGGTAATATCGCAGTGTCCTTCGACGGGTCATGGATGACCCGCGGACATACGTCCCACATTGCTATTGGCGCTGTCATTGAGCTATTCTCCGGGCTCGTCTTAGACCACGTTGTATTGAGCAACTTCTGCGCTGGTTGCGAACGTGGACCTAAACCAGACGACCCCGACTATGAAGAGTGGAAGGCCACTCACAAATGCCAAAAAAACTCTGACAAGAAGTCGGGTGAAATGGAAGTTGAGGCTGGCCTTATGCTCTTCAAAAGATCTTGGGAAAGGCACAAACTAAGGTACACAACTGTTTTGTCTGACGGCGACAGCAGGACGTTCCTCGCCTTGAAGGAGGCTGAAGTGTACGGATACATCGACATCGAAAAGGAGGAGTGTGTCAACCATGTACAGAAGCGTATGGGGACAGCCCTTCGCAATCTGCTGGCAAAACAGAAGGGGTGTGATGCCCAACCTCTAGGTGGAAAGGGGAGGTTGACTGGGGACCTAGTAAACAAACTCAGCTCGTACTATGGCTGGGCAATAAAGTCTCATAGTAACGACATTGAGGCAATGGAAAAGGCTGTGATGGCAACTTATCATCATGTGACATCCAACGACAGTCAATCGAATCACAGCCTTTGTCCTACTGGTCCAGATTCCTGGTGCCGGCAAAATTCTGCGAAAGCTAAAGGAGAGCCAGCGCCAGGACATCGTTACAACCTCCCTGATAATGTGGCAAAGGCTCTGCTTCCCATATACCAGCGCTTATCTGAGAGGAAGCTTCTCGAGCGGTGTGTGCGCGGCAAAACACAAAACAGCAATGAGAGCCTGCACTCGCTAGTGTGGTCACTCGCCCCAAAAGAGCAGCACGCATCTCTCTTCAGCATTGAGGCAGCTATGGCTGAAGCTGTCATGATCTTCAATGCAGGCCGTGAAAGAACTTCTACAGGAATTTTGCACGAACTATGCATGAACCCTGGTCATCGAAGCGTGAAACGCATGCGAGAAAAAGACCAGCGGCGATCTGTTTCATCGGCCTGCAAACGTGCATCTGCAGACAGTGTGCAGCGGACACTGCAGAAACGACATAAAGGTGGTGGGGGTCAAAGTGACTATGCCCCTGGAGCATATTAGTAATTTGGAAGTGAAATTTGTGCATTTGTTTTTATTCTTGTGTGTAAATAAAGTGTGTGTTCGTTTTTCTCATTTTTCTCAAAATGTAAATAATTGGTTTTCACAGCACCAATTCTGTGATATCTCAGCTCCAGATGCAGATATGATGATAATTCTTTTTGTACCACTTAGCTGAATGAGTATAGCAGATAATGTTGCAAGCAGATTTTTAAATTTCCTTTTCACTAATTTTTTATATGGAGCAATCGCTGACATAGTCATTGCCTTACACTGCGTGCTCATGTTCAATAGCCTATAATTTTGGACCCAGTTCCACGATTCAAAATCTGCTTGCAACATTGTCTTCCTTATGATTTAGAGAGTCTAAAAACATGCTAGCCAAAAAGTTTTGATAAGTGGTTACTTTTTAATTGTAATACAGCACAATGGCAATTAATTTCTCATTATCTCAGGAACTAATTAGGCTAGAGGAAAACTAATTGCATTTTTAGAATCTGCTTAAAAACCTTAAGAAGCATGCCGATTTTCATCAACATAGGCCAGGTAATAAGAAAGTTGATTTCAGGTGCAGTGTCCCCCCTTAAAGCGAGCAGGTGCTGGCTAACTAACTTTATGAAGAGGAAAGGCTTTTCCCTCCGAAGACGAACGGGCATATGCCGAAAGTTGCCGGAAGAGTACGAAGAAAAGCTTCACAGTTTTCAGATGTTCATCCTAAACTTGCGGCACAACAACGGCTACCTGCTTGGGCAAATCGGGAATGCCGATCAGACGCCTCTTTAATTCGACATGCCTGGCACCACAACCGTCGAGAAGAAGGGGGCGAAGCAAGTTGGTGTGCTGACATCGGGCCACGGTAAAACTAGAGTGACAGCAATTCTCCGTTGCACATCATAGGCACAAGCTTCCCCCGTACCTCATATTTAAATGGAAGACGCTCCCGAAAGGAGTCGTTTTCCCAAGTGGTGTGATCCTGCGGGCCAATGAGAAAAATAGGTGCGCGATACAATCGAGGGCGCGATAGAATCGAGTAAATACGGTAACAGTGGTTGTAGCGTTACTAGCCTGAATGGCCGTTCTTCTTCAATGTTCTTGAGAGCCTCAACTGCCGATGGGTAGCGTTTTCTGACCATGCCGAAATATTGTTGCAGGGCCTCTCAAGCCAAAGTGTCGCATGAACCAAACAACATGAGAATGTTTGTTTGATTTTCCATAGATTTGGTCAAAAAGAAAAAAAAAATCCGCTTCAGACAATTTCTAGCACATGTATTCTTGTGCTAGGACTAGCTTTCACAGTGGCAGTCGCAGCTGGTACGACTACTATAGGAAGAGCAAAAAAAAAATACAATTAAAAATCAAGACGGGGGTTTCAGGGCAATAGAACAAAGTGAACTTGTGGAGAAAGGGAGTAAGAAAATCTAGAAAAAAAGAAATAAAACAAAATGAGTACTGCAGCTCGTCTGGAAGTACGTGCACATCAGTCGTGGACAGGCAGGCGAAAATGGCTGTATGAAATGAAAATTACAAGTACAAAGCCAACATTGGCAACAGCCTTCAGTCAAGGTGGTGAGGCCTAGTCTCACCCCCATCACAAGAGTCCAGCAAAGCACATTTTGTCACTCTGAATATTATAAGGAAGGGGGCACAGTGACAGAGGAGGGGGAGGTTGCTAGACACACAACACAGTCATCCAAACCCAGTACTGCTTCTGATTGTTGGCTTACTAACACCCTTTTAAGGTGCATGATTTTCGGAAAAATATTAATATTGCACCTATAAACAGTGAATATAGCTTGGAAAGCATTTTAAAATAATTTTGAAGTGTACGTGAGCGATCGACTTCTCATTGAAATATTGACATCCTCGAAGGGGACCCTTTGGGGCCTTCTACTTCCCTCATGTGACCATGCTGCAGCAAGCTATGACGACGTCATAGCCGCCAGCTCTCCTTGGTCGTGTTTGCTCCAGCAGAGCATGCAGTGTACTGTAAGCAGACTGTATTACTCAGCAGTTGCTCGCGAGTCCATGGCCCTGGCGCACGAGTTGAAAGTTTTGTGTTTGATGACATTGCTGTCCCGTTTTCTGTTCGAAAGAAACTTCTTGATGCGAACCGCCCAGAAGTGCGTCACAGTTTTGTGTGCCGATATGGTCGGGCACTGCACCCGCGAGGTAGTGATAGTTGAACCCGGTGGATTGTCGTTTTCGAAACCGAAACTGACACTGGTGGGTAATAACGAGCCTGTAATTAATCATTTGTCACACGCTGCAAAAAACTATCATGTTATGTTATGACTAACAGGCTCCCAGGAACACAACGCAGCAAAAAAAAAATGCCAGACCAAACAGCAATGTACGGTATTTACTTGCATAATCCTTGCACTTTTTTTGCCGGAAAACCGATGAAAAGTTGGGGGGTGCGAGAATTAAGCGGGGAAAACTTTCTACGAAAACGTACAGAGCGAAAAAGAAAACGAAGTGGCCGCAAATCGGGATTCTCACACCAGCAACTAACAGCAAGCTTTAAGAAGTACTAATTAAAAAATTACTTCAACAATAAAAGCAGAGATTCAACACAAGATTTATTGGAGACACAAAAAGTGGAAGCAAACAGTCGAGAATTAGAATACCATACGCAAAGCTTGCGGACGTTGCGGGCGTAGCGGTAGCGTTCGTTGCTCAACAGGAGCCCTCAAAAGGTAAGCGTGGGATGTAAGTATTGGACTGATGCCCATTCAACAGAATCTTCCGCAGTTTCCTTCTAAAGAAATAAAGTTTACTATCAATCCTAGTTTTAGGCGTACGGCAGGCCCAACGCGCCTTGGTGGCTTTAAGCTGCCGTCACCAGTACCGAACACAAAACTCGTATAGACTCCAAAGGGCCTACCGGCGCCCTGTTGTCGTTGTTTAGTGCATGATATATCATTTGCAACTAGAAAGCAGCCATACAGCTTCAGTATCGCCTCATAACGTGACAAGATTACCGACACAACATACAAAGCACGCCGCAACGCGCACTGGTCACTTCGGTTTGGCTTGGATTGAATTGAATCTCTGTGCAATAGTGCACTTGATGCTTAAGAGATGGCGTCAGATGGCGTGTGCTATCCTCATTAGTGGCTGGAAAGAGCAGACGACATTATTGCAGCACTTTTTGGGGGTGCAATAATTACTCGAGGAAAAAAAAGAAATCGTATTTTTGTTGGGCGATGTGGGGGGTGAGAGAATTATGGGAGTGCGAGGATTACGCGAGTTAGATGTCTTTGTCAGAGCATAGAACTCACATGACAGTCACAGTCATGAAGGCACATTACTTACGTTATCATCGGCTGTCATAAAGTTCGCCTTGGAAGACTTGTCATCAGCATTGATGACGTTGCCCAGCGAAACGTTCTTGAAGCCCTCGTTTTGCCGTATTTCATCATCTGGAGAGTAGATGAAACATCCAGAGTACAGGCTGTCAATATGACAAAACTAAAATACCTGACCTTTAAGTAGGCTGCAGATTCGTCAAAAAGAACTGGTGAGCTAGTTGGCCGAGTACTCATGTACCTTGTCGTACTGGCAATCACTGCACTCCTGACTGTTCGGGCTCACTTCGCTTGCACGCATTCCGTTCACCATCACCGCTTGCTTTTTTTTTTTTCTTGCAATCATAAAAGTGACGAATTATTCATCCAAGTTTCCTGCAGATCAATTGCTCAAGATAATAAACGATGAGCATGAAAAATTGATCACCACCTAGTAACCTGCCACAATGCTTTCGTTACATGGAGGTAAAAAATTCAAGGGTTCCCATGGGGATAGAGTTTGTGAATGACAAAACTCGTTAAATCCAGGAATTCCTTAAAAAAGGGTTTCCTTAGATCCAGGTTTGACTCTAGATTGATTTGTGGGGTTTAACGTCCCAAAACCACCATTTGATTATGAGAGACGCCGTAGTGGCAGACTCCCGAAATTTTGACCACCTGGGGTTCTTTAACGTGCACCCAAATCAGAGTACATGGGCCTACAACATTTCCGCCTCCATCAGAAATGCAGCCACCACAGCCGGGATTTGATCCCGCAACCTGCGAGTCAGCAGCCGAGTACCTAAGCCCCTAGACCACCATGGCGGGACATCCAGGTTTGACTCTACTAAGCAGAATCATACGAACATTAAGAGAGTAAACTTTTTCTGCAATGCATTATTCAAAAGAGCAGTTTTCAGACAGATTACGAAAGAGTGAACTAATCTGCAGAATTTCATGCATTCCAGAGCTTGAATAGATACTATGGGAAATAAAAAAAATGAAACGAAAAATTCACAGAAAAAGTAAGATGCAACTTCAAGTGGTTAAAGAAACCCACATAATAAACAGATGTGACCATAGAAAGTAGTGACATTGTTCTGAAGGCACATACCGTATTTACTCACGTAATAAACCCACCCCCCCGCTTGCTCCTTGAAAAAAGAAAAAGAAAACCTTTTTGAATGTATCTGTTCATTTTATTTCGGTATGATAGCCGGTTCCGTTGACGATCGAAAAAACGTTAAATCAAGCCTTTATATCACAAAATAACTACGCAATAAAAGTCAAAACATAGCTCCGCAACCATGCTAAACAGTTGCGAGCAGCATGAGCGCGGACGACGTCAATCAAAATTTGAAAGCGGCGCCTTTTGCAGCAGAACGCCATCTGTCGAATGCAGGAGAAACCTCTTTGCTGATAGCGCCACGCAAGCACACCAGCACAAACTAAAGCGAAAAACGAAGCGCGTGACCTCCGAAATTACGGGTGCGCGGCGTACACACACGTCGCGTGCCCGCCCTCTCCAGAGGCCATGCAAATTGCAACCGAGCCGAAAACGCATCGTGCACCCGCAACGTCTACCGTAACACGTTTGTGTGCCACCATCCGACTGCATTTTTGTTGTCGAGTTTGTCGTTGTGAACTTAGTTAGGACACCTGCTGTGCAGGGCACGTTATGCCAGTTCGCTAGCTACACGGCTGGTTAAAAACAGCATGCGCAGGAGCACTGGAACTGAGCAGCTGGAAGACACTTTGGCGTTGGTCCGTGGGCTTTCGTTACAGGAGGAAACAAAAATAGCTTTGGGCTACAAAAAAGATTTGTCGCGCATTTCACGGGCCAAAACAAGCAAAGCCATCACGCGAAGTTTTCGCTGTTATAACTCCCGTGACTTTCTTTTTTCCCGTGTAATGCGTCCTCCCCCTAAATCGGTGTCAACTTTTATGAGAAAACGGTGGGTTGATTACTCGAGTAAATAAGGTATTCTGTCCACAAACACGAATTAAAAATGGAATTACTGTTTGCTTGTATTTCCACACACAAAACTGCAAACACTATTGATGCAATCATTGACAGCGACTATGCAGTTAAGATATGCGGCTAACGCAGTGCTAAATTAAAGGCAATTAAGTCCTAAAAAAGCAAAGCATTTTGAGCGCCCTAAAACACTGCAGCACGTGGGAGGACGTGAATGCGCACTTACAATTTGGAATGTTGATGCCCGCAGGTATGCCACTCCCGCCGAAAGTGAGGACGTCGAGCGAGGTGAAGTCGGGTCGTAGGAAGCGATCCTTCTCGAAGCTCTTTGGCCATGGAAGCAGCTTCAGCAGGGCCTCGGCCCTTTCCACCAGCGCGCCAAACTTCTCACTCTGAGGCCGATTCACCATGGCGACAAAGCCTGCATTAGGTGAAAAAATATCCTATTGCTCAAAAACCAAAACCACAAAAAAAAGTAAGTTCAGATGGAATATACTTCCATGCGAGTGCCATCAATGCTCTATTGGAGGAACCTTACCTACCTTAAACAATGATCCAAGCTATCCGGCATCCTAAAACATTTACCGTTTCACCAACTAGTATGTAAAAAATTAAGGGAGTATTGACGTGAATATTAAACATTTTCGGGTTGTTGCTCTTAACAAAACACTGGTGTAACGCTAAAAAGAGTGTCACAGTGCTTGGGAATGTATACGGTACATTTTTAATACCCCTGCCTTAAAAAGGCAGCTCTGGTATCGGTACAGAGAGGCCGGCGTCGTAGTGATGTGTCAACACAAGTACGACGTCATGGGAAGACCGCAACGTGGCATACTAGCTACAGCTGTTAGCTTGCTGTAAGTCTCGCGTGGTTTCCATAAACGATGACAAGTGAACAGTCATCTAGAGACTCCGACAGCAATTTCTGCGATTTAGGCTGCATGCTAGTTGCAAATTTTGCAAACCCAGGGAACTTTCTTGACTTGTCATGGCAATGTCTGTTGCTATGGGGCTGGCTTGCAATGGCTGGGTGACGAAAACTTCAAAATCATGATTTGATATGTGGGGTTTAACGTCCCAAAACCACCATATGATTATGAGAGACGCCGTAGTGGAAGGCTTCGGAAATTTCGACCACCTGGGGTTCTTTAACGTGCACCCAAATCTGAGCACACGGGCCTGCAACATTTCCGCCTCCATCAGAAATGCAGCCGCCGCAGCCGCGGTACTTCAAAATCACAGTAAAATATTTCGTACGTGTGGTCTGGTTCCGGTGTATGGGAAGTGTTGATAGTGCACACTATGGAAACAAATACAGTTGCCGAGGGATTTTAAAGACTTCAATAATTCGGACTTGTTGGATATTTCGGACATCACAAATGCACTGTCAAGGTTCCCATTCCACTATTGCACTTTCGTGACCAATTTTTCAGATGAATTTGTGTTCCAAAGATTGATTTCCAGACTAAATCCACTGTTTTGAGCTATGCTGCTCAATATTGAAAGCCACCATACTAGGTTTCTTGTTGGCTTGGTCGAGTTTGCCTTGCAGTGGCTTGTTGTCTGACTTTCAAGATTAGAAGAGCGCACAATCTTCCAGCTTTGGAGACCATATCTGATCTTTCTTTCTTGGCTAGCACGGCAAAACTTATTTTTCAGTCAGCCTTATCATCACCATTATTACACTAGTAAGTTGTTTTTATTTTCTGGGCAATTGTTTTTCTGGTCGTCATTGCGCACGTGGTCGAGTTAGTGGTCTGACAAGTACGCTTGAGCAGTCGTGCACGTGGAACGCCCGCTGCTACTCACAGTTGCTCAGCAGCATTATGTGGTCATGGTGCTCGGCTACTGACCTGGAACACGCCGGTTCGATTACGGCCGCGGCGGTAGCGTTTTGATGGTGACGAAACGTGGAGGCTCAGGCACTGTGCAATGTCGGTGCAGGTAAAGCAAGCCCAGACCGTGTTGTTAATCCAACCAAACAAGCAAGAAGTTGCATGCATCTTTTTGCGACCAGCATCAAGTTTTGTTTGCTTGGTTTCATAGAGCCACCAACTTTGCCACTCGCAGTGGTCTGTGGCAGCGATTGCCAGCGCGCTTGCTCATCCCCAAGAACAGCATAAAGCATGGCATTCTTGGGAATTTTTTCAGTGCTTTTCTAATCCAAATAAACTTTCACGGCTTGAAACTTTCCCGGACTGTTCAATTTTTCAAACTATTTTTGGTTTCCGCCAGGTCCAAAATATCGATCGAAAACTGTTACCAAAATATCGATCGAAAACTGTATGCTCATTTTTTTTTTATAATACGTGACATATACTATTCATATTCGATTCGAAATTATTCAAACCAAACTACAGTTCGCTTTGAACATCAAATTTGCTATTCCCACAAGCCTAACATTACCCCATCTTTGAAGCTTCCACCAAAATTATTTGCCACTGACAGTAGTCGAATAAGTAAGACCAGGCCCTTCTAAAAGAATATCTCAAGCGTGAACTTCAAATTGTGCGCCCACCTTCGAATTCACCACGTATACCGGCTGGATCCCTGTACGTCTCTATAAATCCTATGTACCTGCACAAGAATACAAATTAATGAATGAAACTCTGTGAGTAGGAACTACACAATAACGTGCATCACAGTTTTAGCGTGTTACAAAGACAGGAAATTATGAAGATTTCATAACAGCACACATTGAATTTGATAAGTGCAACATAGAACAGTGCTGAAATTTGACCTGCAAGAAAAAAAAAAGGCTTTATGTGCTCTGCCTTGGGGAACTTGCAATACATAAAACAGAATACTTAAGCTATCTCCAGCATCTTCTGAGCACATTCCACCCAAAATCATAACATCAAACTGTTGGAAAAACATTTTGAATGCACTCGGTAACAGTCTCAGTAATGAGCTGTTCTACTAGAGGCCCACCAAGATTTGTTTATTTTCAGATTTGTACATGTGTATTTATTTTTTCTTTTTGATTTTCCTGCTTTTGATTTAAATCTTCATTTATAAAACACGTTTCCTATTCTCTGCAATTTTCTTCCATTCCCTAAAAGTGGTGCCTCTATTTACATCTGAAAGTGTTTCGCCACATCTCCCCCCCCCCCCTTTTTTTTGCTCATCCTGAGCACTTTTAAAGTTTTGCAGCAGCAATAACTGTTGTAGAAGAAACAGGTGTCTTCGCCGGTGGAGTGAGCGAAAAACAAAGGTTTAATGGCTCAGACGAGATAGAAACGCGTCCAGTGTCTGGCAAACATTCGTTTGGCACCGCCCAGTCACGAGCTCTCAGCTCGTGCTCACACTTTGTTCTCTTCTTTCTTCCATTAAATATTCAACAATATTTAACAACTGTGAACCTTTTACTTAAATTCTTCAGAGAGCTATATCCACATGGCTAATTAACTACCTTGAGGGATAGAAAGCTGTGATTAACAATGCTGGTGACAAAAACATCACAGTGCTAAAAAAAAAAAGAAACACACTCAATTCTCAAGAAATATCAAATGGCCCACTCAATATTCTCTAGAACACGCAAATGCAACACCTTCAATTGAGCACTGGCTTTTTGGGAAATCTACAATGCAGTTTCACACAAGAAAAAACTTGGCATCAGAACGACAGCAGCACGAACTGACACGTGCCATCGAGTCATATGAACAAACAAGTGTTTCGAATTGAGAAAATTTTCTGCCTGCGAAGAACCTACACCTAGTACAGTTCAAGACGGATCGTATAGTTCCTTAGCTAGCCAGTGGTTAAACCAGAAAGGCTATGACGCCAAGTGTAATTCTCAAACCTGGACAAATTTTTAATCCACTGCAATATTTTTATTCTAAAGAGCTTCTTTTTCTTTAGCTATGTGCTGATGACTTTCAGACAGGTGTAACTACTTAGTTCTTAGCAGTTTTGAACTGATATAACTAGAAACTTCACAGTCCTTCAAATGTACTTTCAGCACACTATAAAACTGGGCGAGCCCAGCTAATCGAGAAACGCCCGTTGTCAACATAATCTCAAGAGGGCACTACATTCAAACCTCTTTATAACAAAGTTGCATCTTACACAAAATTAAGTTCGTTATATCTGATAATTTGTTATAAAGGTTACTCCTAACACTGTCTATTCGGACTATTTTTCCTTTACTTAATTTTAATCGATATTTCATTATAATACCCGGGTTTGTTATATCGAGGTTCGAGTGTGCTTCAGCACAACCCTCTGGTGGCATGACACTCACGATTCAACGTTGGGCCCCTTGTCGCGAATCCAGAAGCGGGAGCCATCCTTGTGGGCGTCGAGGCTGCCCACTGTGAAGCTCTCAATGTACTTGCCCAGCATTTGCCGCTGTGTGTCGTTGGCCGCATTCTCCTGCGCAAGCATCAGCACGGCATTGGCATCAAGCTTATCCTACTCCCACTACTGGACGAAACGTCCCTCTCCTAGAGGGCTAAAAAATGTTCCTCGCCAATCCAAATAAACGCCATTTTCATACGTGCAATCCTATTCATCCTAATAGCGTACTGCTTGTCTTGCCTCAACTGCAGCTGATATGGCGATGCGATAACTCCATTATGGCACTGAAATTCATAATGAGTGAACACGCGCATCTAACCTTTACTGGACATTCAAACCGAGGCTACGATCAATTGATCGACATCATACGTGCCCAACTATGTTAATCACATGCACACATACCTTCCTTTCTTTAATTTATGATGAAATGATCTACAGGCTTGTGAAATCCTTTCAGGCGATGCCACCCACCTGAGCAAGCCGAAGGTTGTCGACGGTAAACTTGAGCAGTGGCGAGTAGTCGCCCCGTGTAAAGGTGACCCTGCTGTTGTTCATCACGTCACACACCAGAAACTTGGCATTTTCGGGGTCCTCTGTGCACAAAGGTAGCCACGGGCATTACAGTTTAATGCAAAGCCAGCATGCCAAAAAAAAAATAAAACCGCAGCCTAGCGAGGTTTCAATCAAGAGGAGTAAAGAAAATCTCCTATCACCTCGCAATTCAGCTCTATCGAAACATGAGTCTAATTTACGACACATTTGTGAAAACCTAATGTTGCAAGTGCACTTTTCCTTCTCTTCAATGAGGACTTGAAAATGCAAATATTGATTGTCCTTAGTTTTTACTTACTGTCATTATGGCTTAACCAGGCTTTGTGGCCTAATTGTGAATGCATTCTGCTACTACATTCCAAGTGCCGTATATACTCATGTAGTGAACGCACTAACAATAAACACACCTCTAACTTCAGTTGTCAAAAATTAGATTTTTGTCCCTCCGTAGTAAATGCACCTCATACACTCATCCGCTGCAGTCCCGCTAACTGACACCTGGCGTCTCCTTGCCCGTTAAATATTTACCATTTTTATTATGCCACCCCCCCACCACTTTGTTTTTCTTTTTATCTGTGCGCGGCATGCCCCCAGTTTTTAAAATTATTTCTGCACCACAGCGGGCGTCCTGAACCGCGTGAGTGTGGAGACATCGCAGCTGACAAGCACACAGCAAGCGAAGGTCACAAAACTGCTTATGCTAACCGACAGTCACTTCCTCAAATTTGAAACTTTAAGGCCCAAACACGATGATGACAGGATTCACTGACATGATGGCTGCTCCAAAGGGCCATTCGTTTGCATCACATTTTACGTTTAAAAAAAATCGCCTGTCACCTAGAAAAGATTGCGACTATTTCCGCAACATGGCAGCTACCCCGATTTTCGCTTTGGTTGCAATTAGCTCTTCATGCTTGTTATCCTCACATACTACAAAGAACGCAAGATGCGTTCCTTGTAATATGCGAGAATAACAAGCATGAAGAGCTTTTGTACAGTAATTTCTCATATAGACAGCGAGGCGGTGGTTGTATTTCGTTGTTAATCTTGTTATCGACTGTTTGTTTTGATGCTTCGGTGGTAGCTTGCTGTAATGTTGGTTAATTGCTACAATGTCAATATCGTCGTTGCGGTCATCGTGTGAAATTGATGTGAAGTTGGCAAAGTGCATCGTAGCACACGCTTCTGGGTTTTAGCATGTGGTCAATAAACTCAACCTATCATAAGAGCAGGTGCAAGGGGACGGTTCGGAACACTGGCGAGAGACAAAGGCGAGGTTCAAGTAAAACTTTGCTACCCATACGATGGAGTTTTCAGCACACGCCTATGCTCAGTACCAGTTGCACATTTGTTGTGATTGAAGGAGTTACAATATCGGTGGATGCCTGTTGCACTGTGATACGATACAGATACTCACCTGGCTTCCTCAAAGCAAGCCGTTTCTCGCAAGGCAATGGGTGAATCACACTCCCAAGAAAAACGAAACTCCCATTAGTATGACACAGATGCACGTACCTGTAGGTAGCACGGATGCAAAGCGGATCTCGTAGTGATCCTGGTCACCAGACCCAGCAGCCGGTCGCTTGAATAGCCTCGTAATGTAGCCCTCAATACCCTGTTCAAATAAGCGTGAACCTCAGTGAATTATTGGGAACGCATTTTTCTGGAAAAATTATCCCCCCAAAAAAAACTGCATCATCAGCGCTCACCTATGATAGTAAAGCATAAGTGAAAATGAAAAGGCGACATAAATATGGAATAGTCACTTACTTTTGAGTTCACACTTTGTCCAATACTACATGAAAATAGGTCGACGCAAACCACCAGGAAGAATAGGCAAAAGTAATTCTTCCCAGTGGTTTCCATATTCTAGTTCTTTTTTTCGTAAAATGCACCAAATAGCCCAACAACAAATTTTACTGAAGTATGTTTTGTTTGAAATGTTTGTCAGTCAACTGATAAGTTGCCCCAAAATATAATTTTTTCCCCCTTTAATGTCTTCTCCCCAAGCTCACATATTTTGCGTGATAACAATAAATTCATCCTGTAAACACAAGAACTGCTACCTTCTGATAAAGAAAATATAAACAATCCTCAAGTAAGATGTGCTCATAAAAAAAAAGCACATTTGCTCCTTAACATATAAAAGTTTTCTATAACTTTTAGACATATATATAGAGATTTAAAAGTCTGAAAAAACCATTTCTGACTGACTAATCATTTAAAACTAAGAAAAGCATTTTCGCTGATGAACAACAACTAACGCGACATCAATTTCCAAAGGAAATGCAGACTTGGTGCAACCACAACCATACATACTGCTGTATGTGTAGAGCAACAGCAACACGAAGACGTTTTTTGGTCTTTCACAGAGCAATGAGAACTCGTTTTCTACAAATGCACTTTTTCCTCTGGTACTTAAATATTCAGAAAAAGACAAGTCCGAAAAATCTGTCTACAACTGAATGCAGAATAGTATACATAACACAATAACATAACAAACAAAATGCACTCATACCTCATTATAATAAAAAGTTAGTTAAAACATACAGTATTGAGAAAATTTATTATAGACATATATTTGTAGCACTGCAAATATGACAGAGCTACTTTTCATTTACCTTGTTATAACTGATAATTCATTATATCCGGGTTCGTTCCATCGAAGTTTGTGTGTACACAGGTGATATGGTACATAAGTTGCACCTGAGGTCCTCAGTATAGTATATGTTTTCAGGATTAAAAAGGGGCCCTGCATTACTTTTTCTGGTAATCATCGAATGGCTTCATTAACAAAGTTTATTGCCTCACAAACTGGCTGCGACAAAAATATTTAAAATCTGTGACGCACGGGCGGTGTTACAGGAATTTGTTGCACACTTTCAGAACCCTCCCTCTTTTCATACCAGCGAGTGCGCTGAAAGTTATGGAAAAAGAAGAAAAGTATGGGCAGGGGCGGGGGCAAGGAGGTATGTTTGTTTATAAGCATGCATCATGAATTCGAACACATCCTTTTAATTTTGTCTTCAAACATATGCATTAATTTCACCCCGACTGCAGCATATAGGCACATCGCGGCATCTAGTAGCAGCTACAGTAACTATGCAGTTCGCGGGGCTCAAATTAGCGGTTGGCCATGGACTTCGTGTTTATGACTTGGTCATATGGGTTTACCAGGCATGTGTGAATAGCAAAATTTGGGTTCAAAGCAAATTCGAAGCCAACAGTGCTTTGGTCGAATAATTTCGGATCTAATTCAAATAGTAATCACCCCTTATGAAAGAAAATGAGCATATTTGTCCCGACCCAACTAACCTGCACAATATCTTATAAAAACTTTAAACAAGGCATGAGCAAACGTCATTCTTTTTAGGTTCAAAAAGAAGCGGAAGCAGCACTGAATTGTAGCAGGATTTGGCTTTTGGTAGTACGCAAGCGATAACCAGTAAAATACATTACATTTTAAAATTTGCTGCACTTGGAGCATATAAGCCAATATAACGAGCATGTAAACTTTATAGACGATGAATCGATGAGAGGATAGTTGTACGTTCATTTAACCTTGCAGTGGGACTTCGCGGTAACGATTTTTTATGGATAGGTGCGTTCATGATATAGAACTCCTCCACCGCAGTGAAACCACCTTTACGTAAGGTTAAATGTGGTTTATGTACGTTTCTTATTCATTTCGAATACTTCGAAATTTTGAATAATTTAAAGTCATGCAAAAATAAATATTAATAATAATATGTTCATACAAATATTCAAAGTGCTCAAATACTTGTGCATGCCCAATCATTTGGCATGATTATGGCGTCACTTGATGTCATTTGGGTATATGGCATAGCGAAAAGAGCGAGGGATGTCTAGCCATTTTAGAGCAATACCTGTCAATTCCAGGCTGCGTGCTGTGCTATGATGTTGGGCTCGCATGTTGTCAGAAGCTTTGACTACGGATTGGCAGCATTTTCTGACAATGCTGAGACAGCGCTGCAGGGGCTCCTTTAAGGTGCCCTTTTACAAACTAACAAACCACAAATGCATGGCTAGCCAGTCACATCACTGGAGTTTCGCACATTGGAAGTAAAGAGAACGCCCAACTATTTTATGCACAAATATGAAAAATACAAAAATACGATTGTTTTCTGCTTGAACACATCCTTACGAAGCATGCCAGTTTGGAGGGAGGAAGAGAGATACAAATTTTAAAAACCTGGGGACCCTTAAGGGGAGATGTGGGTCAAAAAACGCGAGTTTTTTTCAAAATTACCAATTTTTTATTTTCACCTGTTTTGATCAGATTAGTACCTCTATTGTTATGTAAAAAAAATACAGACCAAGACATAACTGGAAATGCTTTAAAATTGCATCTAAAGAACACAAGGTGCCTGTTAAAAGGTCCAAAGTGTGCAGTCTTCGAGCATCTTGTCGCGGATAATGCGCCGCCGCTCGCCATTGTTGATGTCATGAGTCGAAGAGTCGAGCCTCACTTTTCAAATAACAACAGTTTCCCTCGCTGATGCAGCGCAAGAAATAATAAAAAGAAGCACGCTACTGCGCGTTTTTCGAGCGCCGCGACTGGCTTATCACGTGGTACGAATCGGGGACCGCCACTGGCCGCTGCACGCCTGTATGTGCTGTGAAACCTGTTTGCGGGGTCCATGTCTTGTCGAGCAGCGCAGCTAAACAATGCTTTTCTCATGTAATTATCTCCGTTATGAATGAAAAAAGGAATTGCTCGCAAGTGAAAGCCGTTGTGCGGCGTGCTCTGTAGGAATAGGCTACGAGCAGCTGGTCTGATTTGCGGCAGTTAATTTGTTGGCTTCCAAAAGCCAATGCGTCAAAAGTTATTCACACCCGTCAGCCGGAAAGTTCGTGATTGGGCAATGAATGACGTCAGCGCCAATCTTGCGAGGTCGAAAGAGCTCGCAGTGAGAGGACTTAGCAGGGACAACATTGTCATTATGTACGACGGTATGTGGTACAAACATGGCCGCAAACTGGCATGACATTGGACTTAGTTTGGATTTCCCAGTCCTGTCGAACTTCTTCCTAGCTTGCAGTTGGCACAAGGCTCTGCCAGATGGAGCGGAAGTTTGGCAAGCATTTCATGGCCCTGTCTGTGAGCGAAATGTCTGTGAGGAGTCGGATTGAAAAAGACGAGAGGGACAAACTCATGGTGCAGGCGTATGTTAGTCGTAGTGGCCACTACAAGAAAGATTGTTCTTTTTGGAACCAAATTTCATAAGATTTAATATCTTTCATATATAAAAACTGAATTTTAACTTTAAAACTCGTTTTTCTCAAAACACAAATTTTGCCATTTTTTCCAATGTGCCCCTCCTTTTTAGGGCACTTCTAGTGCTGACATCTGCATTAAATTTTGCTCAAATTTCTTCGAAAGTATGAGAAATGCAATTATCTAGTTCGAATTCCAATATTTTATTGTACAATAAAAAATTTTATGTAAACCTTTACTAGGGTAGGTGAAATGTGGACTTTTTACGTCTATTATTTTTCATGTGTATTACATATGTTGTATGTGCTTCCTAATTAGTTATTTGCATTCTCCACTTTATTTGAAACACTATGAACTATGAGTAGCGAAAAAATACAGAAGTCTAGGGATGAAAAGAGGGGGGCAAAATGGTTAAGGTTCTCACTTTGTCATGTTGCAGAGATAAAAGTGTGCAACTTGCAAGAAAACTAACTATATATTTGAAATCAGCATAAAAAGTTCCCCAAACAGCTCAAGTTTCATTGCTCTAGGGTGAATATTAAAAAAAAAGTGTCTTCGAGTAGCATCTCCCCTTAATACACATCTCAAAGTACTGCAAACACAGGTGTTTTTGCCCCCCTCAAAATGCAGCTACCACTGTTAGCAAGGAACCCTGGCCTCAAGCTTAGCAGAGAAACTCTAGAGTTGCTCAGCCCCCACATCAAATTGCGTTCACAGAAGCTGCAATGATGGTTTTTTTAATAACGCACGCCAGAAAGGTTTTCCACCATGACTAAAATACTGGACAAAAGTAGGAGCTAACATGCCATCAGTGTTCTTGCATGACTTTTGTCCTGTTTTTCGCTCAATGTTTTCAAAAAGAACTTGAGAGACGGTTCATTTTTGCGTACAAGGGGCAATTCAATCAATCACTACTTTTCCAAAAGCTTCATTCCATAAAGAGTTGCTACTGAAAGCAACATCTCGTGAAGCATAACATCACTGACCTTCCGCTTCATGTAGCTGGACACAAGTTCTGCATCCTTCTCTGTACAGCTCTTTGAAAAGTAGGTGGTGGTCGCCTGCACAAAAAACGTTTCTCTATATAACAAAAACAAATCAACCCAGTACCATTCAAGACTCCGCATGCCATTCACAATTTAACAAAGAACGGGTGCCGCATGGCGAGAGCTAATGAATAGCAAGAGGAATTGCATAGACTTTTTCTACAACACAAAACTAGAGAAACTGACCATAACACTAGTAAGCACTCAGCCTGTCGGCATCATTACCTTGTGTTCTGCTGTTCTGTGACCTCTTACGGCATGCCCTGACAACTTGTCACTTTGGTGCATAAAAAGGGGCTCGCACAATTCTGTAGTATATCAATTGCCACAATTTTAATGGAACATCATGTAGACACTATATGTTACCTAAAACTGATGTTCCCTTACAGGCATTATGCAAGGCATTACGTATTTCTCCATCCTCGATCCATCGTTCCGTACTGGCAGACACAGACGCATATAGCCCAGACAACAAAAACTGACTTTCTCATATCTTATGTACACGAAAGACATAAGCCTACAGCAAACCTCTTTGATCTCGACATTTAAAAGTACTACACCTTAATCTCTCTGGGTGGCTAAACAGCTCAAGCCGTACTGTTTAGATCTATTCTGGAAAAGTTCATTGCAAAATCGCTGCACATAATCTGGTCTCAATAACAGTGTTGACCCAAATGCGAAATGAACACAGATGAACCATTCTCTGTGTTAAAGAAGTTGTCCGATGTACGCAGGTCTCAAGTGAGCCAACTCACCTTGGGTGGGAAACCAAGATGCTTCTCGGAGTCGCGGAGCGAGTACAGCGGATCGGACACCTCGGACCAGAGGTGCTCTAGCGTTGCAGGCTCTGCCTCCCAAGCCTTGCTCAGCCTCAAAAGCTTCTCCAGTTTGTCCTGTGTGTGGCAATAGAACAAAAAAAAAAAGTACATTGGAACCACATCCTGCAGTACTTCCACAGCAGCAGAACCTCGTCAGTTCAAGTTCGAAGGGCTCCGAAAATTCGTTACAACAACACGAAGTTGGAAAAAAATATTTGCCATCTTGCGGGCAAGATGAGGTGAGTGCAAAAAGCGGTGTGTAAGAATCAAATGTTTCATTAGGAGTAATATGTCTGGCAGTTCCCAAAGTTTGAATGCTCTAGAGAACTTATCCCACACAAGTTCTGAAAATTTTGGTGAGAACAGTTGAATTTCATACATATTAAGATCTTGAATTATTTAGATTCTACAGTTATTGACGCTGTTCTAAATTATAATGTCTTCCAGAAAAAAATAGATCAAGCCACTGCCCACAGGCTGCTATAATCAAATGCAAAAGCGAAATTGTATTTTTGGCATGTTAGCAGCATTAGCCAAAGTGACTGCTGTTGCCACCACAGTCATCACAAAAACGTGAACAGCAAATGCTGCCTCCATTTCTACTTAGAATGGCTACACTGAGTGGCATTCTTGGTTATGACAGTCCATTAAGTGTGATCAAGAGCTGTGCCAACACAAATTTTTGGTGTGGCATGAATACAATACTAAAGTGCGAGTGCAAATTGAACGGAATAATTTTAGAACATTTATCGAATATCTTGAAGAGAAATTGCAAAAGAAATGTGGAAGTGTATCCCTAAACATGCTCTCTAGGCATATATTATGCGCTTCATCCTCATCTGAACAGCAGTCAATCATCATCACCTGTTCTGGCTGACAATCATCATCGTCTTTGAACGTGCGCTTCATCTTCGGGTCCGTTGCGCTTGTTCGTTCCCAAGTTCACGGCCAATAAACCTCGTTACAACTGAGTCGTCATAGCTCGTACAATATAGGAAAATGAAAGCGTTTCTGGCTAGGTTGATGAAGCACTAGACAAATCACATTTTAGGTGTCCGTGGCCAGTTTGCGGCTATAAAATCTCTTCAGCGAAAACTACGCAGAGTTCAATGATAAATTTGTTGCATGTGCTGAGGTGGTGAGAATTCTTGCTCAAATTGCAAGGACTGCTATAGAAAAAAAAAAACATGGTTGATCCCTTCGTCATAGGAATAACGCGAAAGTTGAATGTGTTTTCACAGAAGTAGTGCTTACTGTGTACTAATATAGAACCGCTTCCACAATTTCTATCGGCGTTTCGCAGGTATACACCCGTTTAATGTAGACGCAGCCCTGTTGACACAGTAGCACGTCTCCATCATGATTCAACCATTGAGGTAGCTGAAGTTTTCAGCATATCCCTGACCACAGCGTATTAGTAATCGTGCACAAAGATGACATGAAGTAGCACACTCTAAACACTGCTACTTGATTTGCACGTCTTCAAACATCATCGGTTCTGGAGAGAAACAGCACAGTGCATGCTCCTGAAACGTATGCCAGCGCTCGCGCATACTGCGCTTCAGCAACACGGGACACACAGGTTCATATCTTGAGCCGCGAACGTGTGCCAGCGTTCTACATCCTGCAAACCTCAGTTTCGCTCCAACAAGGCACGTCTTTCACCCATCGACATCGTTGCCTAGCTTCAGTGCCTACTGCGGCAGTTTTATTAAATAAGCTGGCGCCATCACGCTGAGAGTAGTCGGTGGTGAAACATCATTGCTGCATGTGGAAGCTGCACGACTTCAACAAGAAAAAGGCAAAGAACATAGCTGCGTTGGCGACTCTCCGACGGTCGCTCGGTCAGGGTTTTTCATAGCTGTTGAGAAGCTTAAACCATAAAGGCCCACGCACAAGTTGCAGCGCGTTGCTTTTTGATGTCATATCCATGACGGAAAAACATGACTGATGTCTTTGTAGACTCCAGCATAAAACACTTTCTTGTTAACAAAACACAATAATATTTAGGAGCTCTTGCAACAGCGCAATCGGGTGCCACTTTGGGCTCATCAAAATGACCATTCCTCCGTGTTCAGAATTCCTGCTCCAGCTAGGTCCTCTATTCAGAAAGAAGCTTACGAAAATCCATTGTTTGAAGTTTGTTCAGAGGGCTTTGATCGGTAGCATCTGCCACGTTACTTCAGCATGCCTCGCTATTGGTACATTCTTTCCTCCAGGAGAGCATCTGCTCACAGCTGCCGAGTGAACAGCTACTTAGTGATACGGCTATGTGACCAGCGAGGTTACGGCTACTTAGTGCCACATTCGCACTAATTCTGCGTTCAGGTGACGATTATCAATTAGAATCCATGTACGTTTTAGTTTGGCAGATGCTAACAGAAGCTCAATCATCAGATTACGTTAGTGCGCCGCGCTGGTCACGGACATCACCGATGCACGTCTTTCACTGACTTTTATGCAGTACAATTTCAGAGCTCGTGACAAAGATCATTGAGGGATGGCTTTATGTACTTGCGATCAACCATAGCATACTTTGAAACATCGGTTACCGGGGCCACCACAAAGCAACTGAGCTTACTTCGAGTCGTGGCTAGGCCAAACTCGGCTCACTGCACTAGTAAGCACACAAAGGCAAAAAAGCCAGAAAGCGCTTGGTTGTGAGCAATGAGTCACTTCGCCCACTGGCTCCCCAAAAACCGTGGATGGGTATTTTACGCATCTGCCATGATCAAGCTCGTCACACAGCCACCATTCGTGAGCACCACTCGAATGAAGCACTGACGAGGTGGTGTTTCATAGCTGTTTTATCAAAGAGGAAACAACGCAGAGGCTGAATTGTACTCATATACATGATTTGGTGCAACCAAAGTGTTGCCGATAACACATTACATGTGAAGGACAAAGATGCTGTTTTCTCAGCCTCTCCTCCTCTTTCAACTTCTGTGAAAGCCCATCTGATGTGGCAGTCAAGGGTGGGTTCTCTTCATGTCTGGAGTTCTAAATTTGCCTCATAGACATCGATATGACAAGAACATGTGAAATTTTCGACAATAAGAATCCTTGTTGTCGTTAATTTCATGTCGGAAACAGCATTAATAGAGCCCGCACTTTCGTCACACGTATCATCTCCAGGTTAGAACAACTATTTTTTTTAGTAAACCCACTTGCGACCGTACCAGAGCCTGATAGACAACTCTGCCGCAGTACGAGAGTGTAATGTGGTGATGCACATTGAAAAACTGAAGGGGCCACTGTCAATCCGGCATATTCTTTTTTTCTTTTTACAGATTCTTTTTTGTTATTATTTTTTTAATGCTGTTATCTTTTTCATTTTTAACTGCTCATGTGCCCTACAAATAAACAAAGCTTTAGTGTTTAGAGCTCGTCTGAACTAGTGCATGTTTTTTTTGCCATGTGTTCCTACTAAACAATATAAACATTAATCTAAGTGGCCAAATTTTTTGAATGTCTATTTAAACAGTATCCAGCAACAAAAAGTGGAATCCATGTTCACACATAGGTCTGGAGAACTACCCTTGGCAGGCTACAGTGAACAACGCTGAATAAGAAAGAATGTGCCCAACATCCAAAAAAATTCAGCTTACCTTTGCCACGCCCGGTATGAACTTGTTGTCTCCAAAGCCTTTGTAGTTTCCCATGTTGGAGTAGAACGCCGCAGCATAAACAAGCAGGGCCTGAATGTAAACAAGTAAAACGAATGTCACATAACAAAACAGTGAAATAGACTACAGGTTCTGGCGTACCTAGATGGAGGCTCTTAAGCTGTACACCAAAACCTCGGTATAATGACCCCAGATATAACCAAATTTCGGTTAAAACGAAGTCTTCACGGGTCTTTCATTAGATATAGTGTTTGAAATACACCTTTATAACTAATTTCTGAATATAACAAATCTATTTGCAAGTAAGATGATAGTCTTGCAATGAATACAGTGTTAGGAATTTGTATTTAGAATTAATTTTTAAACATAACAAACATATTTTCCAGTAAGGTGCACCTTTGTTATAATGATGTTTGATGTGTTTTGCACACAGCTGTAAAATTTTCCGGATGAACTTTCAATCATATTTATTAATTCAAATTTTTCATGCATTCAAGGTTCATTGCAATGAACATGACCAATATTAAAGCTTTCTTTTCTTCAAAAAAAAATACAAAACATGATTCTGTGGCCATTAACAAAGTTCTGTGGTGGCTACAAACAACAATGAAGTTTGAACAGGTGAATGAGTGGGTGATGAAGGTGCGAACAAAAGCGAGAAAATTGCAACAGTGAAATAATTGATAGAAATATAAAAACAATGCATAGATATAAAAAGAACTGTGAAATGAGGTTTGTAAGAAAAAAATATAAAAAGGGAAAGCTATTGAATTTTTCTAGCAGTGTCCTTGAAAACTAAAGAAAGGATAATTCCTGAAAACTAAGCTTTATTAGCAAAATCCTGTTCATTACACACGATAATGCACCGCTTAAACAGCGCACAATGGAGACCAAGTTCACTGCTAGAAGCTTTTGTGTTCTGTGCTAGCCAAGAGTTTATCCCGGGTCTTTCCTTACAGTGGTCACAAACGCTACGAAGCTCAGGCCTCACGTGGCTGCTCAGGCCTCACGTGGCTGCTACAAACAGTAACGCGAGACTGTTTTGTAGTGTAATCCAAGCTTGTTGGTAGCCACTCTGAAATACTACTCTAGCAAAAACAATACAAAAAAGCACAAGAGTGGCGCGTAGACAGACGTGGTGTTAGCTTCCAAGAAGGATTATATTTATGAGCTGTATTTTCTCCCGCACACGATCCTCTTTCTCTCTTTCTTGTACAAGACGGACCCACATCATAGATCAACGGAAAAATATTTTTTTAAAAATGTCGCCCGCATCTTCCCACAAGAAGAGGGGGAGGGGGACTTGAGCAGATGCGTCGCAGAGTGGTGGGGGTATCGCGCAAATGTTGTGCAAATGGGTATGGTTTGGGAATGCTCAATTGTTACTTCATCTTTATTATTCTTATTTATTGAATGAAGGAAAAGCGTCGGGTTATGCCCCACTCCTGATTGAAGGTACTGTTGGTTCCATCGCATCTACTCAAGTCAAGTAAAGCGAAAGCCAAGGAAAGACGCCCTTGACTGAATTCGGAAAGCGCCTTCCGCCGCTTATATACAGATCGCCTGCATTTGAGAGAGAGGAGTACGGAGGAGAGGTCCACACCCCCACTGCGCAAGCTCCACTTGCTGAATGCTCGGTGTTGTCTTATTAAATGCCCCTCATTTAAAAAGAAAGGATGCCCGCGAATTGCCATGAAGTCAGCTCTCTTGCATAGCTGTGAAACACTGCGATGAAGCCAGCTCGAATGCCAATTTTCCTTCTTAACTGCAGCTTTAAATTTTCTGCAATTTTTGCACAGACTATAGATGAGAAAATACAATCATTCCACATCCTGATCTGTGGTTATTTATTCTGCCTTGAGTATTGCAGATCACATGCACAACCGTAAATAGTCCTAAGAATAGCAAGTTTGAAAACAATAACACAACAGGAAGAAAAAAAAACAGATAAAAATGCACAGTCGGGTGTTTTATATCGATAAGTCTGCATAAACTATAGAATTTTTTTTTTCATTTGACAAGACAAGGTTCCCACATGAGCGCTTAAAAACATAAGAAATGATTTGCTACAGCACTACTAAATGCAGCAAAGGACTCATTCCAAAACTGAAGATAATAAATAAAAGCTATTACATAAAAACTTTTTTCAAGAGTGTTACGAAAGAGTGAACAAGGTAGCTTGTGCGTGCGAGATGCCAGTTAGGAATGACTTGCTCATCTTTTTTCTGGTTTTCCAACTATTGATACTGCACTAGAACAATAATATCTCATGCCTTTCACTCCTTAGAGGGCAATGTCTACCAACCTTGAACTCTCCCTCATCGAAGCCAGCCTTTTCCAGAGCCAAAGCTTTGAGCGATTCCAAGTTCTGTGCCCGGAACAGGCGCTCAAGCAGCAAAAAGATGAGTGGGCTCTCACGAGATGTCTGGAATGGACGCAAAGTGCATGCAGGCAGCAAGATATAAATGACAAGAAATAGGAATACACAAATCTGCTTTCTAATTCTTTTAAACATCCCCAAAGTGCAGGTTTTTACATGCATGTCTTTATGCCTTTTGTCTCATTAATGGTGTCCAATGATAAAACCACCATAATGTTGGTGAAAAAATAACGATAAATACCCTTTCTTGAACCAGCCTAGAAGGTAGTCATGAAAATTTTTCGTGCAAAAGTGTCTCTTCCCACTACGCAGCTCAACAATATTTATGACAAAAAGCTATTTGGCCACAAGATAGCGATGACATGATGGCAATTACATAACAGTTCTTTAGATCAATCAAATGAAGTTTATTGAAGTCTTGGTATGGAAAGAATCGCAGAGATATTTACGGAGAGTGGGATAGTCATTGAAACCTTGCTACACCTTTCTCATCAATTTTGTTTATGCATTAGGAACTCACTTTCCTCAATTAACACCTACAGTGCATAGTTACATTAACAGTTTCAGATTTCAGATTTGTTATCATGTCAGCATTCCTTTAGACACCTCTGGTGTTGTGAGTCCCCCACAGTGCGAAAATTCAGTACAGGAATGGTTAAAGATTGGCCGCAGCTACACACCTGGAAGAGGACGATGAGGCCACCGAACCAAGATGCTCGGCTGAGGTAGTGAGCATACTTCTTTTCCCGATCGCTGAGCCCCTCGAATGCGACACGGCAATCAAGTTTCAAGAACGGCGTCTCGTTTGAGTACACCTCGTCCGACATTTCTCCTGCAGGAATTAAGGGTCATTGCGTAGAGGTCAGTGAAGAATAAGTATGTGTTACAGTGCAAAAAATGAGAAAAAAAAAAGGGACACGAGGAGATACACTCAAACCTCAGTATAACAAATCAGCATATTACATGAAATAAGTTCGTTATACCTAAAAACTTGTTGCAAAGGCATATTCCTAGTACTATGTTTATTGCAAGAGTACTCTGGGTTTGTTATATTGAGCTTTTGTTATATCGAGGTTTCATTCTATCGAGATTTGAGTGTGCATGTTCAGGCAGGAGACGCAAGTTTTGTGTAGGAAGAAAACATGACACACACAAAAAGAGTCACTTTAGAGGTTAAAAAGACTTACATCTAGACTTTTTCACACTAAACAGACGATACGATTGTAAGGCTCATTGTAGTGGGAAGGCCTCCAGAGTAACTTTGACCACCTGGGGTGCTCCAACGTGCACTAAAACATAAGCACCCATCTGCTTAGTTTTCCCGTAGCTGAGAATCGACATATGTTATCTTGTAGAAATCTTGTGGAAAATGTGGTATTATTAGCCCAGTGCTCGATTAGGTCAGTTGTTAGTGCATGCATCATGCCTTAGTACAATATTGATAAGTAGCCCTAGACAAACGATAGCTTGAAACAGCTGTATGACCACACAGGAAACTTTTGTAGTCTGAAGCTTTGTTCGTGCCTGTGAGACCTACCTATATTTTACAATTTCACAGATGCTCTCTGTCTACCATTCATATCATCAGTTTGGATATGTTTACTCCCGGGATGCCCACTACCTTTTCCAAAACCTGTTGTGCTGTTTTAGTAGCTATGTTGTTACAACTGTAACAACTTTGCTAATGTAGTACAGCTAACTTAATGGAGCCTTGGGCTCCATTAAAAATCCGCCCCTCAAAATATCTATGATTCAGCGCATATTGCAGTGTGCCTCTGAAGAGATTTAAAGTGTCGATGGTCTTATGAAATATATAACAAGTTTCGTCCAGTGCTGCAGGCCATATTATCAATAGGTCAGGGTGTAAAGACCACATTATATGAGGTATTTTAGCCTTCAGTGTTTGTTCCCTGATGAGAAAATTATGTATTCTTTACTGCAAATAAATAAATTATGAGATTTAAGAGTTTAAGTACACTTCTTTTCAGTGCTATTCCACTAAGCAGTCTTGCTTTCTTCCAAGCCCCATTGTTCCCATTTGTTATGCCTGGCACTGTGCTATCATATTATCATTTCGATGTGCTGCTCTAAGAAACACCTAGAAGTACATAAAGCAATATCAAACTTTTGAAGAGCTTTCTTTGCCCAAGTCAGTTACCATTCCCTTGATATACAAAACATTGTATCAGGTTTGAAAATTAGAAAATTAAATTCTGGGTACAGTATTGTGTAACAAGACCACAACATCCCTACGAGGCACGTAGGAGTGAGGTACTCTTAATGACAGTCCCTCTAAGTGGGTTTCGCAGCCTCTTCGCTGGGGTTCCGCGAGCCCCCGATGAATTTTCCCTGTTTTTGCACCATTAAGTCACACAGACGGCAAACCTGAGATGCAATCGATCTAAGGAACCTCTATTACTCACGCCCTAGTGTCATAAAGCAATCACATCTCTAGTGCATAAGGGATATGCGCGAGTTGTACATTAAACCCCGCAAGCAGCTTCTAGCCAGCCAGACTCCTAAAACGGGTCGGGAGATTAAGCTATTGCACTTGAATCACATAAGCCTTATATTACCCCCATGTGTATTTCTCCTGTTTGGAGACCAGCGCTAAAGATAAGGCCATGGACATGCTGTAGGCATTTGCAACAACATTTGCTTGTAAGCAGGTATTCTCCTCTCAGGCCTACCTGAAAAAATAGGCACAGGAATCGGCTGAATCCAACGGCTATCATGCTGACGGCCGTGAGTGTTACTGAGCCTCGCGTTGATTTACTAATGTAAGGAAAGGGAGTTCAGCTCCATGTCAGTGAACGTTTCATATAACCTTGCTTTTGCATTAATTGCATGTAAATGTAGCTTGAACTGAATGAAAACTGCTTGCATAAAAGTGATTGGGGGGGGGTTCCTTGGCACTTAATGGGGCCTAGCAGGGTTCCTGGGGACCAACAAGCTTGTGAATCTCTGCTCTAGATTCAGACCAACTGTAATGTCTGAACACAATGCCGTTCGATTAACCTGCACCACCTGAAAAAATTCACGAGGTGCTGCACCTTGCCATTCATTTCAGCAGTGCAGCAATGGTGACCTCTGAACCACGGCTTTCAGTTCAAAAGGTGCAGGAGAGCTGCAATGCTGGTTCCCGATTTACCTGCACCCCCTATGCCAAAGGTGCCGGCTTGGTGCAGTTGTGCACACACTAGTGGCTGAGCAGACGACACAGGGTTCCAGCATAGATGCGTTTTGCCAAGGTATAATTGTGCCACATACCATCCACATACGCAGCTTGTCACCTGTCAATATTAGGTGGATGGAGTAAGTTAAGCGAACAGAAACAAGGCCTGCACCATATCGACACCTTGCAATTCATTTCTGGTGTTCCGGTGTGCCAATTTCCGAACTTCTCATGCACTTCTGTGAACCAGTTCCAATTGTTGCAAAGGACTGGAACAAAGCTTCAGTCTAGGTAATTAAGTTTCTAGCTCAGAAACCAATGCACACCGATGGCACATACTTCATATCCCAAGATACAAAATTTTCTTATCCTAGTAAAAAAAACTTCATGAAACAACAAAAACAAGAAATACTAAACAGGACTAGCAATATCTTCTTTGCCTTCGTTGTATAGTGCTGTACCTTTTTTTTCACTGTGAATGTGTACCAACAAGCTCGAGTTCGCACGCTTTCATTGATATGTGGCACGACCGACGTGCAGAAAAGGTGTGAATATTTTTATTTACGCATGCACCATACAGCTGGGTATGTACATCTTTCATTTCCTATTAAAAATCTCACCGAAAAGCCAGTGCTTGTTCTCGTCTATTTTTTTTTTCCTGTGTGACCATCTTGTTTTTTACACTGCTTACTACCAGAGACAATGGAAGTTCCAAATACACTCTAGCTCCCTCTTAGGTGGATCTCAGTGACAGAGCTAACTAAGATTGTGCTTCCACTATTTGACATTTCTGTGTCAAAGCTTATACTTAGGGCCCCACGGCGACAACAGGCTACGTGATAAGACCTATCTTCGGCATTCAGCCAAGTCTGGAAAGCAGCGAAAACTGCAGGAAAATAACGCGGCAGCCTTGCTAGCAGGGACTGCGGCTTTTCGTCATTTAGTTATCACGCGGGAACGATCGGATCGCGATTGAGTCCCGATCGGGATCGAAATCCTCGACTGGGATTGGCTGGTTCCCGACCGTTTCCTGTCGTTAGCGGTTGCACAAAATAATCAAACGAAAATGTTCTGGTGCTTTCGGGAATGTTGACCTATGAAATCCATATGTAACAGACGGTTATTTCAGCGCAAACTCGCTCGAAGATACTCTCGCAGGCGTCGAGTCGTGGCGACACCGATGATGCTACTTGCGGGGTGCTACGCTCTTTGTATAAGGCGTGCGGCACCGGGAGAAAGAAAATGAGAAATCGGCGCCTTATCACATCCTGCAACGTGCCAAGGCTACCGCTTCAAATTGGCAGGTGTGGAGCTTGACAAGGACTCCTATTTTCCACTTCTATCACGATCACGTCAGCAAAACGGTACTTCCGAAGCAAACTTTTTGCACAGATAGATCCTTTTGTTTCAGGTTGATCTTGAGTGGTTTATCGTTGGCTCGCGCTCATTGATCGAGTTGCTGTATTGACGAGAGACGAATACTTGGCGCCGGTGCAATGGAAGTCAATGACCGCACATGACAAGGCGCATTTGACGTTGACACGACAGTCGTACTACTATGCACTTACCTGCCTCGATCAGCGCCGCTTCGGTACAGGTAGAGATGGCTACTCCCTCGGCAACGAAGGCTACACTGTGCCGTTACACTACTCCGCGACGACGGATTAAATGCCGGGCTGCGAAACCGTGCGAAACCGGCAAAATATGCTTCTCCTTCTCTCGTCGTTTATGAAAGGAGCGAGCACACCGGCGAGCGATCGAAGCGACAAAGTCGGCAACTCGGGGAAGTGTAGCGAAAAAATTAAAAATTTGGTGACCCGTGAGGGGTTGCTCCAGGTTAAAAGAAACAATAAATCAATCAACTTAGTGGACAGAATGAAAGACGGCGTTTGACCACTCAGATTTGCCTTTATTTTAATATACGATAGCACTGCTGTAGTTTCGTTTTAGGCCAGCTGGCACCGTTGCTGTTGTTGTTAGTGGTTCATGAGGAAAAGGAAGAAGGCACCTAATTTCTGTCTGCCTACAAGCGACACGGCGCAGTGTCTGGCACGCTAGCGAAAACCGATGTTCAAGCGACTTTTAAATTCTTTGGAGCACACCTACGGCGCGTTATAACCACTCTTTCACTCCACGTGGTTAGAACTTTTACCCACGGCTGAATGCCATATAGGACTTCACAGGCGTACGCGTGCGCAGAGTTTAACCTTCGGGGGGGGGGGGGGGCGAAGTCAATATCTGGGTCCAATTATGCGCCCTCCCCTTTCGAGTTGCAGAGACCCCCTTTCTACTCCTCTAAGGGCTGACATTGCGCTACCCTCTCCAGGGAAGCGGCCACCCACCCCTGGTGCGCACGCCTATGTAGGGCTTTACGGGGACACTTCCACGGATGTACAAGGGCGGAATTACCAATCCGCACATAAGTGTAAAACCCACGGAGGAAGGAAAGGTAAAACCACACGAAAGGGGGGGGGGGGGACTTTGCACTTTCGTTTTTAAATAGTGAATTTCCGCGACCTTAAGCGCATCTATCTATCTATCTGCCTGTTTGTGTCTGTCTATCTATGTATCTATCTATCTATTTGGGTGCTCTCGGGGTCACCCAGCGTGAACCAAAATTAGCATGGGATGGTAAGATGGTTTCACGAAAATGACACGCTGATCAAGACATGAATAATGTCACAATCCCCTCGCGTACGTTGTCAACCACATCCCGCCAGGAAGTGGCACATACCCAAGGGCAGGTATGTGCCACAGGTATGCGGGCATATGCCACAGGTGATTGACACTTGGTAGCTACCCAGGAATGACGAGAACACACATGGGCAATTTTCACGCGTGGGCGCTAAGAAATACCCGATATCGGTATCGTCGACCCAACAGAGGCATAGAACAATTGTCAGGGTTCCAGCTGAAATCGAACCAAACCATTCTGCATGGCAATGAAGCATTCTACCACAGAGCTTGCCAGGTCTCGGAACTACTTTTCAAACAGACACTAATCTTTGTGAAACAGCAATAGTGGTTGCAGTGCTACCAACCCAATTTTATAAACATTACATATGTACACCTTTGATACAGCCATCACGTAGGGTTAACGTCAATTGTGGTTAGGTGCCATGCGCTGAAGTTGATTTATTTAGCACTGTCCAGGTCCAGCATCTTCGCGAGCATCAGCGCTTCATATCAGCTTTTGGTGTTGCAAATACACATGTTCCAGTAGGCATCTTTGCGCAAGTGCAAACTGGTTATATTGACGCAAGGTAGGCTGGCAACTATAGTGGCCTACCTCTGAGGAGGATAACAAAGTAGTTCTGTGGGCGCGTGCTCTGGTGTTCGTGCTTTTGGTCTTTGGTCACGAAAGTAAACGCCCTGCTTTTCTGCCTGCGTCCCTGTGCCTATGTGACATTTTCTGGTGGAAGTGCGGGATACGGTAGATGATACGGTCCCCAGAGAGCACTCCTGACGCAAGCCCATCGAGTAGCTCAGCCAAGCTTACCCCTGTGCACGTACGTTCCAGCCGTAGTCTCCAGGCACTCGAGCCACAGCACGGTTTGCTGCCTGAACGTCAGAGGACTATGAATCAAGCACCACCTAACGTCACTGCGCCAGCACCAGCACACCTGGTTGTCAACCAGCCCAAGACGCCGAAGACATTTCACGGAGCTGCTTTTGAAGATGCCGACGACTAACTCGAGCATTTCGACCGTGTCGCCATCATCAACGATTGGACCCTAGAGCGTAAGCTACGCTATGTGTACTGCTTTCTCGAGTACACTGTGAAAACGTGGTTTGAGAACCATGAAGCAACGTTTACGTCATGGGATGAGTTTCACCGGCAGTTCCTCAAGGCCTTTGCCCGAGAGGATAGGAAAGAGACAGCGGAGCGTGCTATAGAGGCAACGGTTCGAGGCCTTAACGAAAGGGTGACGACTTACATAGAGGACATGGATCGGCTTTTCAGGCGTTCGGAGCCCTCTATTACCGAATCCAAGAAAGTCCGTCACTTAATGCGTGGTGTTAAAGAAGAGATTTTTGCAGTCCTGATTCGAAACCCACCCGCGAGACTTGCGGAGCTCCATGAGAAAGCCACTGCCATGGAGAGGGCCCTTCAACAGCGTGCCAGGGAGTATAACCAGGGTGTACATCCAAGTGAGGTCACTTCTGTCACTCTCGGCAATGACATCAGCGCATTGCGAGAGCTTATCAGAGCTCTCATTAAGGAGGAGCTACAAAAGATGCAAGTGACTGCTTCACCTGTAGAGCAGCTCTCCATTGCGAAGATGGTACGCGCCGAGCTACGGCAAGCCGTTCACACTCCCCCACAGTTCGAGGCACCACAACAGAGGCAATGTGTCGAAATGAGCTACGCGGAGGCAGTGCGACGTCCTCCGTGGCGCAGTTCACCCAGCGTGTTTTATCCCAATGAGCGACGCGCTGAGTAAATGGAGGTAGGCTTCCTTCCGTCCTCGCAGCCCGCCGTTGATCGTCGAAGCACGACCGAGGAAGAGTTACATCTGGCATACACCAGACCAGAGGCCCCTTTGTTTCCAGTGCGGGGAAGCCGGACACGTCTACCGAACATGTCCATACCGCCGTGTGGGTCTCCGTGGATTTTCGCCTAATGCCCCTCGTCCACGACCTGGCGATTGACCGCTGGAAATAGAGAGCTTCATCTTTAATCGACGCAGTATCGAACATTGGTCGCACGAGCCCCGCTCATTGTCGCCTGCTCGCTACAGGTCACCGAGCCCAGCATACTCACGCGGCGCTCCAGGACGCCGTTCACCCAGTCCTGCAAGTCGGGAAAACTGAGTTCAGCAACCTCCGGAGGTGAGGCCACTGACGCCGACTCTACGGAAGATCTTCCACTACGACGACAGCGACGCAGTTGAACGTGGTACGAACAGTAGTGACATCAAACATTGCGGTTACCGTGGACGACGAAGAAGTAATGGCACTAATTGACACTGGAGCAGACACGTCCGTTACGAGCATGGGTCTTGCCTGCAGGCTGAAGAAGGTCTCTACCCAGTGGGCTGGGTCACAGATACGTATGACAGGAGGCCAACTTCTCACTCCGGTGGGACGGTGCACAGCGCGAGTCAGTATTCACGGATTTATGTATCTCGGAGAATTTGTAATACTGCCCAGTTGCTCGAGGGACCTGATTCTCGGACTGGACTTTCTACACGATAACGGAGCCGTGATTGACTTGCAAGAGTCACAGGTGACGTTTTCTACGCCACACGCTTTAGCGCGCAAACCTCACGACAGTTACGTCAATGCTTTGAGAATTGTCGACAATGACCTCACGTTACCGCCGAAGAATAGCGTGTTGACCTTGGTAACCTGCGACGTTTTCGATGAATTCAATGACTATGAAGGTATTGCAGAGGCAAATATCCTGCTACTGCTCAAACGAAACATCTGCATAGCCCGATGCCTTGCTTGGGTGGAGAATAAATGCTCTCGAGTCCTGCTGACCAACTTCAGCAATGAGTTTCAGCACGTCCCTAGAGGCACCACCGTCGCTTTCCTCAGTGAAATTGCTGACTTTCCGATGTCAGCGCATTGGGTACGACTTCACCGCATGCAAAATCTTGTGCTGACCTGGGCAGCCGCATTCACGTTAATCCAGATTTGCCAAATTCACGAAAAGAGCGGCTGCTGAACCTTGTGACAGAATTCTCGGACTGCTTATCCACAGCATCTAAAGTTCAACGTACTACCGTTACAAAACACCGCATTGTTACCAAGGGGTCGGCGCGGCCTCTTCGCCAACATCCATACCAAGTGTCCCCGAAAGAAAGAGAGGCGATTAAGCGTCAAGTACAAGAAATGCTGAATGATGACGTCATTCAACCCTCGACCAGTCCGTGGGCGTCACCTGTTGTCCTAGTAAAGAAAAAAAGACAACACACTACGCTTCTGCATCGTCTACCGACGGCTTAACAAAGTCACAAAACACGACGTTTACCCTCTGCCACGGATTGATGATGCCTTAGACCGTCTACGCCATGCCAAGTTATTAGATCTCAAGTCAGGGTACTGGCAAATAGAAGTTGACGAGGGCGACCGTGAAAAAATTGCATTCGTCACTCCCGTCGGGCCCTACAAGTTTAAAGTGCCGCCTTTCGGTCTCTGTTCTGCTCCCGCCACATTTCAACGCATGATGGACACTTTACTTGCTGGACTAAAGTGGCAGATCTGTCTTGTATACTTGGATGATGTCGTGTTTTCAAGCACGTTTGACGAACATCTTTCAAGGCTAAAAAGTGTCCTCACTGCAATAAAGAGAGCAAACCTTACTATCAAGCCCGAAAAGTGCTATTTTGGCTATCAGGAACTCAAGTTTCTCGGCCACGTGGTGAGCCCCGGGGGGTGTTCGACCAGATCCGGAGAAGTTGGCTGCCGTTGCAGATTTCCCTCGTCCTTTAGACAAGAAGGCTCTTCAGCGATTCCTCGAACTCTGTGTTTACTACCGCTGTTTTCTCGAAGGATTTTCAAAAATTGCGGGACCTCTTACAAGACTGACGCGGTCAGATGTACCCTTCGTATGGATGGAAGAACAACAACAAGCCTTCGTAGAGTTACGCAATCGACTGCAGACAGCTCCAGTGCTGGCACATTTTGACGATGTTGCCGACACTGAGATTCACACGAACGCCAGCAACGTAGGAATCGGAGCCATTCTTGTTCAATGGCAGGACGGCGCAGAGCGTGTGATCGCTTACGCGAGCCGCAGTCTCACAAA